AGGCTGTCAGGAAATTACTGGAACCTGGCTGGAGGGAAAGGCTCCTTTCAGGAAGATGGGAATCCTGTAAAACATAAAAGGCAAAAGGAACCCTTATGGTCTGGACATCAGTGCCCATATCAAGGTCTGGCTACATCCGAGGTCTAAGAGTTCCTCCCGCTCTAGCCCCTGCCCATGCTCCCGAGGCAATCAACACTTGAAACAAATTTCACCAAACAATTGATAATTTTTCCATAATAGCCTTTAATACTAAAATGCATTAAATTTTTGAAGCAGAGAAAACACATTTAAGGGGGAAACAGAGAGCCACCAGGTAAAAGGAAACAATGTGGCAGGTAACACCATTTAAAACATAACTGTAATAATTTAATAAAGCTGCTTTATCATCTTCATAAAATAGACAGTGGTGATTCTTTTTTGTCTTTTTTCTTTTTACAATGATTCAATCACTGTGAAAATGTACATAACATACAGATCAGCATATACAACAATTTCATCTTCATAAAATCAGCAACAGAGACTGCTTAGTGAGACATACTGTACTTGCATCCCTCTAAATTTCCACCCTGGTTTGACAGGTAAACAGTAATAGTGTCATCAGGCTCATTCCCCTCACTAGAGGAGCGAAGGCGTAAGCCTTTTGCAACTAAATACCTTAGCATTCAAATAGCACAAGGAGGTATTTGCTGCGAAATTTCTAGCATGAGCTAGTCTGGCTCTTGGTCATTAAAGTCTGTATCCTAGCCTTCCTCAGCTGAACGCCAGCCAGTGCCATGAAATTATGCTTAACCAGTACCACGATGGTGTTAGCTGGTTTCTTTGCCAAAGTTGACAGCAACTTTCAGTTAGTAACAAGGTCATCTTTAATTGCCAACACAGCTGGAGCAACAGTCAGTATCATCAGTTTTCCCTAATGACCTACAATGCTTTCCAATCAAGATCAGGTGTTTGTGGGTTGTCCTTTACCAAGAGCATTTTACAATATATACGAATATATATATATATATACACACACACATATACATATATATATATATTCTCCAGACAAGGTGGTCGGTTTTCTTTGTTTTACAAAAGCAACATGATTCCTATTTGAACTTAATTCACTTTTGCACAACAAGTGACCCACAGGCCAATTACAGCCTCACAAGAAAACAAAGAGAGCTGCAACAACTTCATTAGGACAATGTGTTTTGCTCTGGAATATTTCATTATCAATATAAAGCCACCCAGTCCCGGCCCCACCCCCACGCATCCCCTTTGAATATTACTTTGTTACATACTTAAACTAAAGAACAACATCTCAATACACTTCAGTGTCAGCAGATACAATTTGACTCATGAAATGACAACCTTAAATGTAATTTTACCAGGAAGGCAAACACTAGGACTGTATACAATGGACTTCTTATGCTCATTTATGCCAGTTTTTCAAAGTCAGTAAAGGTCTTTTTACCCTGGGTAAAGAGTCAAGTGGACCAGGGTCAGAATGCCTTGGGGAGCATTCAACATCAAATGATCCCTGCAAAGTGGAATTCCAGCCAGAACTGCTATTATGTACAATAAGAATCCTTTTCCACCTTGGATGCTCAATTGAGCTATCATCTTCACCACTGCCTCTCCCCAAACTGTCTTGTGTCTTTGCTGCTTCCAGTGGACCACTTCTGTTTTGTTTTTTGGTGATGACAGCACTAGAGAAAAAGTCAACTGGATTCCCTTCAATCAGTCAAATGCTGAAGCAACATCATGGGGAAGATATACGGGGTGGTTTCACTTTTCAAAATTCTAAGTTGTATTCCCTTTAGCATTTTTAATCCGTGACCAATGATGTTACCATGTCAAGGAATTTTTTAAATGAGAACTTTGGATACAATTAGTTCTATCTAGGCAGTTTTACTCTGGAGCAGTTCTACTCAAAGTGTGGACCCAGAATCAGTTATATCAGTATCACTGAGGAAGTTTTCAATATGCAAAGATGCAGGCCCCAGCCCAGACCAACAGAATCAGAAATTCTAGGGGGCGGGGGGAGGGTGCAGATACAAAGCTGTGTTTTCACAACTGTAGGCATCTGAGGCAAACAGATTGCTAGGCCCTGTCCCAGGAGTTTCTGAGCCCCTTGGTCTTGGTGAGTACAGAGAATTAGCATCTCTGACTGGTTTCCAACTGATGTTGTTACTGTTGATACAGAGACAAACTTTGAGAACTACTGCTCTGGAGGAAATACAGGATCCCTTAGCCCATCTCCTATGTCAGCAATGAGATTGGCTATAAATTAGCCTGCTGGCTTCAAGAGGATCACAAAGATGATACATTTCATTCTGAACAGGTTCAAAAATTAGTCTGAATAGGGAAGAGGAAAAATTGGTTTCCATACAGCACAATTCTCTTCTTTCTATTCTTTGTTACATAGTATTCCAATATTGGAAAAAATACACATTCAACAGAAGCTGAACCTCTTATAACGCACGAAGAAGTCCACCTGCCCAGGGAATTGCTAAAGGAAGTTGTTGGTAAAGAGTGTCACCTTTCAACAGCAATTCCTCCTCAAAAGGGATATCGAAATAAAGGTAATGGAATTCCCTATGATGGGGGGCAGGAAACTGATCTCTCATATTTAAATGTGCAACTTAAGTAGGGAGGGAAAAGGGAGGATCTTAGGACCTCTGACTCTTGTAGCTTTTCATAAGACTTGTTACAAACAGAGGGGCAGAAACAAGAGCCAAAAGAAAATTTCGGGTCTTTGCACGGAACTTCTACTTCCAGGCACACTCTGCCTATAAAACCAGTTTACAAAGCCTTCCTCAGATACGCTTGTGCTTCTTGGAGGGCACATATGTCAAACAATTGAAGAAAAAGATTTTCTTAATGAGAAAACGTATCTGTACTTTCTCAGTAAAGAGTTTGGAAGCAAAAAAAAAAAAAAAAAAATTCCTGACTGCCCACTGAGATCAAAGCATTAGACAAGAGGAAAAAATGGATCTCGAGAGTCAAACTCAATTTCGAAAAAAGTAACTGAAGGAAATAAAGCCCAAGAGGGAAGCCAAATCAATGTCATTACTACTGTAACCATTTTAAACTTGGCTGGTAAGAGACATGGCAGCCAGTGGCCTCTCTGACTCAACAGCTGCCTAACATTTAAAGTTCCCACTTTCCACAATCTTTTCAGCTCCTTGTCTCCACTGAGCATAGTAAGAAGTACACCTGTAGAAAACTGTCAAATCTGACTTGAATGACCTTCAGTTGGTAGCTAACAACATACTATCAGGATGGATCAAGGTGAGGAACAGTTTAAAATCTAAAGGCAGCCATCATAAAGGGAAAGATTTTTAAGCTTTAATATGTTAAACACATAGTCACTTGCAGATAGAAATAAATACCTAATTCAAAGTCTTCTACCAAAACTAAATGGATTAGAGAAGTAAAAAAACATATGAGAATGAAATCAAGCAAAAATGAAGATTTCTAATTGTGTCAGTTGCAGAGGGCAAGTTCCAGCCACAACAATGCTTTTGCATGAGGTAGTATTCAGCACAGAATAAGAAATAAGGATGGATTTGTAGCTTTACTATAGGTTCTTTTTCAGAAATATTCTCCCCTAACTAACCCCATCCCTCCTGTCTCTCCCACCCACCCACCCCCACTCAAAACCTTTCCCCTTCCCATAAAAGAAAATTTTCCTAGTAATGTATAAAGCTAGGAACTCAATAAAAATAACCAAAAACCTTCAGAAGAACTAACTATTGACCTAAACATAAGAAAATAAATCCTCTTTCACATTCTGGTGCTCTAATTCCTAGGTCATGTTTTCTGGATATTGTTGAATTTCAAAAACTGAAACAACTGAGAACAGAACCACAAAACTTTGTTAGAAACAACTTGTTTATGACCAAGGCAGAGCAAAGGTAACATATTTGCTTAGTTTATTTTAAATACGAACTCTTAGGCTGGAAGAATACTATGTTGGCTAGTAAATATTAATAGACAAACAAATGGGGAAGTTAGAGGGATGTTAAAACAAATCAAAAAGAACGTGCAGTTTAATTAAAAAATGTTATAGTCCTAGCCTACAGCAAAGAGTTAGCTAAAACTAAAGAGTTTTTTTTTTTATTTTAAGAGTTTCCTGTTCACATTTTTAATCAAAAAAGTACTAGTCATAAAAAGACGAGTTCAAGTGTCTGAGTGTCTCCATTTAGAAGGCACAGGAATTGAATTTGTGATGCCGTTGCTCGTTATCTGTTACCTGTCTTTTCCTAAATGTACACTTTGTACTGCTTACTCTGTTGGTTATTTCTAAGACTGAGATACAGAGCAACCTGGAGTTCTCTCAATTCCAGCCCATGACGTGCTTTATGGTAAAATTCCAATCATGATTGGGAAACACTGAATCAGGAAGTATGTGTCTGAAGAGATGCTAATGTAGATCTCAAAATAGATCCAGTCATTTTGAGTTTTAGATGACTGGAGACAGGGAATTTCTATGCCCGGAAAATGATAGCTTCAGGAACAACTTTCCTGTTCAGGGGCTGAACATTACAAAAAAATGGATCTCATAAAAGTTTCACCACAGTATTTCTGACAACTGCAAATTAGATAGCAGCATATCCAAAAATGACTTTCTGCAATGATCTATCACGGACCTGGGCAAAAGACTGAAAGGCAGGAAAAATACTTTGCAAGGTGGTGAGCAATCACTCCATGGGTTAAAAAACATGAGTATTCTCCAAGTACTCAATCTATATGTGTGGTATTGCTCATTCATTTGCTGTCTCAGTTGCTTGCACTTAAATTTTTGTTTGAAGTTTTTTTTTTTTTTTAAGAAAAAACACCAACCTTTAAACGCCTTTTGCCATCACCACACACGTAGCAATTTGCAATATCAAATACAACAATAGCACAGCTAGCAAAAAGGTTCTTAAAGCAGGGGTGTCCACAGCAAAGTAGCGGCATTGGAAAGTACTGGAGCTTCAGAGACAACCTTTTAGGGGCTCAATTTCACATCACTGAATCAATGAATAGTACACAATAAATGACTGTTAACTTTTCTACACTACAAAAAAACAGTGGTGAGCTTACTAAAGTTGTCCAGAACTTTTATTTATTTTTTTTTCACTTTTTGTTTCTTTTAATGTGATCCTCCACAAACAATGGTAATTTATATTATAATTTTGACATAGAAAAATATATCAATTCAAACACTTAATACATAATACTTCTCACAATTTGTCTGTTTCCCCAACATCAAGGCCCCATGATCATTTGCTCCAATTGAACACCCCTACTGCCTGTTGAAACAAGAGGGATTGTCACAGAAAGTCTTTTATAAACAATTCATTTAGAGAATGCTCCGAATTACAGCCATTCAAGAACCAACCATTGCTGAGCAATTAACAAGAGCAGCTCCTGCTCTACTAGCCAGTCTTCTTGCCCAAGACTGATTTACAGAACGATATCCTTCAGACGCTTCACACCAGGTGACTCTTTATCACGACCCTCCTTCAGAATGGGGTTGACCTCATGTATGACTTTCTCACTGTCAGCTCCACGGGGCTCAGCTTCAGAGGGACGAGAGGGGCCATTGTTGGCATTGTTGACATACTGCTCCAGATCACGGGCCTGGGGAGCCAGAGCAATGGTGTAAGACACAGAAGGCTTAGTAGGCAGAGGGCTTTTGAGGTGGAGAGGGGAGGTGATGGGGCTAATTGCCTCACAACCATTGCCCGCCTCCCGGATAGCGCCGTTGACCTTGGGGCTGCAGATGGTCACATCAACAGTCCTCTTGCCTTTCACGGTGGGCCTCTCCTCAGTCGGGTGATCACTGACATCTTTCCCAAAGGTTGCAAAAGTCCGTTTGGTGGGGCCGCAGTCGTCATAAGCCTCAACGTCAGCAGCGGTAGCCTCGATGGACAGCGCGATGATGTTCCTCACATGCTCAGGGGACTTGGAGCGGGTTGGCATGGGGTTCCGGGGCATCCAGCACCGGTCAGAGTGGCCAAGAATTCGACATTCTTCTCTGCAATGAAATCCTTCATTCTGATCTGTTTAGAGAAAAAGAAAATGTCAATTCCATCAGCTTTTCCACAGGCCCTACTGGGAAATGGCACTTTCAGAGGGCCTTTTACTGCCATTTGGGACAAGATTTTTTTTAAAGCAGTAGCTATTCCCCTCTATACTCCTTTTCTTTAAAAAAAAAAAAAAGTTTCTGTTGCTGTTTTACCAAAATGAAAAATCTAAAGGGAAACAAGATATGATGAAATGAAGTGTATTTTTAAAAAGTTTATCTTGAGTATCAAGATGCTGAGCATCAGCATTTTTGTCAACAACTTCTGCTAAAAATCACCTGTGTTTGAAACGAGTCAGCAAAAGAGTGTAGGCAAGACAGGGAATACAATCATCAGTATATCTAAGACTTTTTTTTTAGCAACCACACTGTCAATCTCCCTTCCGCCCTACTTATTATTCATAAACAATGTTTAATTGAAGTTTACAATAGTATAATATTCTCTTTGAGAATCCAATCAAATAACTTCAATCATCACTCCCACCAGCCAATCTCACTGTGCCATTTGCATGACTTGATTTCCTATCAGAAAGCGTGCACTGAGGTATCATCCTTTCAACTGCTCCACAAGCTTCAACAGAATCCTTTGAACATATCACTTGCTTGTTGGACATTGCTGCATAGGACCCAATTAGCCAACCTTCCCTATTTTTTTTTTTATCTGCAGTTTTAATAGGGCCCTACTTTTTAAAATAAACAGTTCATGGGTTACATTAATGGTATCATAAATGGTCTCAGAAATTATAATTCACAATTATTGGATAGTACTTCTATTTCTAGGCCAGGTTCATTAAGAGTTACAGTTTTGATCTGGCTTGCATAGGACCTTTCCACACATCTTGAACCCAGAATTAAACTCCGAGTAACTTTCGCTTGTCCACTGGAAAATTGCTCATTTCAATGCTGGTTTATAGCTCTAGTTTTCTAGATTCATTTCTATTTATGTTATATTTTTGCATGTAGATGACTTAATGAGAATTTATTTAAAAAAAAAAAACCTAAGGGCAGGATTAGAGGAGTTAGGAGAACTAAGCACGATTGCAAATACAAAAAGGTGTGTGTGCGCATGTGTGTGTATGAGAGAGAGAGACAGACAGTTGGAAATACATTCTATTACTGCTTTTCTGCAGGAAAAGCTGTCCACAATTTAGGTTCTTGTCTGATACCAGGCTATAATATGTATAATACACCATCCTTGTATCATTGGTTTTGTTTAATTATCATAGTAGGATTTGTTTGCTTACTTCTTCATTGTTTTTAAACAGTAAATGGCATATCAAAGTAACATACCACTCTTGCTTCAATTACCAAAGATTTCTCTAGTAAAGGGATAGGTGGAGATGGGTCAGAAATAACAGTTGAATTGGTGATATACTTCTGCATTTGTAAAGGAGGCATTGGAATCTGCTAAATCTCAAGAACCTAATCCAAGCTAAGTCAGGATTTCAGCACAACTTTGGGCATAGTCCTTGACCTCATTTAACCCACTTGTAAAAGCCAACTAAAGATAAGATTCTTTCTGTGCACCTAGACACAATTCACAAATTTATCTTTAATATGGTCGTTTGCAGCCCCCTTTTGGTACTGAGGAATGGAGCACTCAGAGTTTTGCAAAGATGGAAACAAATAGCAACGGAATACCTTCACAAGAGTGCCTTCCTTAAAGACAGGACAATGTTGGGCCTAGCAGCATGGTCTAGCAGCTGAAGTCCTCGCCTTGAACGCGCCAGGATCCCATATGGGCGCTGGTTCTAATCCCGGCAGCTCCACTTCCCATCCAGCTCCCTGCTTGTGGCCTGGGAAAGCAGTCTAGGATGGCCCAAAGCCTTGGGACCCTGCACCCATGTGGGAGACCTGGCTTTGGATAGGCACAGCACCGGCCGTTGAGCTCATCAGACGGAAGATCTTCCTCTCTGTCTCTTCTCCTCTCTGTATATCTAACTTTGCAATAAAAGAAATAAATCTTAAAAAAAAAAGATAGGACAATGTTTCTGCAAATTCCAGCACACTTTTACATCAGGGGTCACCTCTACAAACTGAAGGGTTTGCCAAAGTCCTTTCTCTGCAAATTCTTATTGCTGCCAACTGATAGGAAATCATCATCCAACATGCATATGCTCCTGGGAGGTAGAAAACATTCACGTACAGAAAATGTTTGTATTAACTTGAGAAACACCCCATGTGGACTCAAACATTATCAGCAAAAGAGCTGATCCACCCTGAATCAGTTTCATTCCAACCTGGAAATTTCCCCAGAAGGACCCAAGATCCCCTTAGTATGACAGAATTCATAGTAAGATGTTTCTGCCTCACCATATCTTCCAGGGCCCATTTCATGGCTTTCCAAGTAATAGCACCAGATAATTATTTAAGACATATAGATTAGCGAGCTACTTAAGCAATTCATTTTTATGAATCAGAGTAAGAAATCAGCAAAAACTATTCTGAAGGCTGTGGTAATCCTTTCCTTTTTAAAATTTTTAACTTAAGGCATTTGGGCATAGAAGCCTTAGCCCTTCAACCTGGGACTATAGACATGCAACAAGCTCTGAAGCAAAAACCCTAGCCAATCTTTGAATCAACATTATGGGGCATTTGCTCATGATTCTAAAACAAGACAGTGGTGAACTATATTCAAGTATAATGTTGCCAGGGTGCTAAGCATAAAGTCCTTATTTCTTTCAGATTTTAGTATGATATGTTTTCTTGAGATTTTTGAGATGCAGCTTTTTCAGCAGAATTCAGTGACAGACTGCCATCCATGTGTCACTTTGAAGCCAAGTACAGGGTGCCTCAAAATGAACAACATGAAATCTGGATCCCCGGCAGACATGAAAGGAGACAGAGACTCCATGAAAAGGGACCTCTAGGATCTTATGAATCTAGGAAGAACGGAGCAAGGAAGTCTGTCTTCCCAGAAGCTTCCCTGAAATGACAGTAATCACCTTTTGATTTCCCATTGACTAAATAGAAAAAAATCATATATCACTGGGAAGAAGGGAACTCACTCAGTAGTTCTAGCCTAAGCCTAGTTCCTATCTGATGCTACCCTAGACCTCTATAACTAGGTTAATAAGAATTTTTCAGATTAATTATGTGAACTCATCATATCCATTCACTGTTCTTTATGCCAGTAAATACTGAAATCAAAGGTACTCATTTACTCAGAATGCCTCACCCCTAGCTTAGATATGGTACTTGTATTTCCTTAAATCCTCAAGTTGCAATTTATCATTGCTGGTTTCAAACAACATTTCATGTTATTTTTGTTGCTTAAGAGAATCTAACCTAGCTTTAAAGTACTTGTAGCCCTTTTCCATGTGGAATAAAGTACGATTAAAATAAGCATGGAGGAAGAACATCTCTGCCCAATTCACAGTAACCTCAAAGTTGTGGAGCAGATGAATTACACTTCAAAAATTGAAGCTTCACCTAAGTAAAAGAATGTATTACAAGTGAGAAAATTACAACACAAACACCCTTAATTCTAGCAATGAACACAGACCAGATTTTTTTTTAATCAATAAAAATTATAAAGGTCTGAGAAGGCTTCCGTGGATGCCATCAGCTAGTATAGCAGCAAGGATTAGAAGCAAGAAAGCAGAGAGGAACCATCTTGCAATTTACAGATGAACCTTTAAGAAGCTGGCTCCAGCTTAATCAGAGGTAGGCTAACAAGTAATTTTCTGCTAAGATCCCACTTATGAGATTCTTTGCGATTTGATGCTTTGCTTCATCTTTATCTAAAATTGTTCGCTTGAATTTAGGTGAAGGAAAATTGAATATTCTAAAAATCCACTCATAGTAGTAGAAACTCAAACACATTACTATCTAAAAATCAATCACGGCAGGCATCTTTAATTCAAACATATATATAATGGAGTTGAATAATACATTTGCCAGTTAGCCTTTCATCCTTCTAAAGTTCTCCCTAGAATTTACCAAACAAAAACACAACTGATAGAATGTATCAATTCAGAAGAAGGACACCAATCTCAATACCAGGGAATTCCTTAGTTAAAACACATCTTATTATTTTAGATTTTAAAATATACAGAAAAAAACTTATTTAATCTAGATAATAATAAGTATTTTCTCATCACAATTTGCCATTAGGGACTTTGGTGAGAGAATTCTGAAACCTTTGGCAAAAATAATGAAAATCCTAAATAAAAGCATTAGTCTTGTAAGGACAATGGAGGCATAAGTAGCAGCAATGACTAAGTCATGATGGATAAGAAAGTAATTCAAGTAGAAAAAGATCAGAATATATTATTTTGTGCAGATAACAGTAAACTTTGTGCAGTGTTTTCCACCCTCTTTGTAACTGAATGTCTGTGTTTTCAGATGTGGGGGGAAAAAAGACAATTTGTTCACACTAGAAAACGTTTATCCCCAGTCCCGACCAAAGTAACACAAGAAAATGACAGGACCCAGTGTGGTAGCCTAGCGGCTAAAGTCCTTGCCTTGCATCCTCTAGGATCCCATACAGATGCCAGTTTGTGTCCTGGATGCTTCACTTCCCATGCAGCTCCCTACTTGTGGCCTGGGAAAGCAGTCAAGGATGGCGTAAAGCCTTGGGACCCTGCACCTGTGTGGGAGACCCAGAAGAAGCTCCTGACTCTTGGCTTTGGGTTGGTTCAGCTCTGGCCATTGGGGTCACTTAAGTGGACAGAAAATCTTTCTCTCTGTCTCTCCTTCTCTCTGTAAATCTGACTTTTCAATATAAATAAACAAATAATCTTTAAAAAGAAAATGACAAAAACACCATCTCAGCCTTTGCTGAAACTTTCTACATCCTGGTGGAATAATGGAGCAAAAATGTTCTGTCAGGCTTGTATAGATATCCAGTCACAATGGATGTGTTTAATGATGCTGACAGTTATTTACTATAATTCAAAGTTTGGATGTATTGACTCAAAGGTCCAATTGACCACAGATAAAAATCCAACCACAAAAGAGTTCAAGGCTACAGTT